ACCTTGAAAATGGCATCTTCTCAGACCTTGTCTTACATTTTTAGGTTCATTATCAGGGATGCACTAACGTGCGGAATCACACTCCACAATCTGATGGATTGTAAAGTAGGTATGTTTATTCAGCGCTGGGCGCATGGGGGATAGCTCCTCCACAAGCATGCGCATCGTTTGCATCTCCCGTCCTGCTTATATATTACAAAATAATGCATATTCATAGAATGCTTATACATAAACATAATATTTCCCCGCCTCCCCTCGCTTCTCATGGTAATTAGGTCTCCTCCTCTTGCGTCTGCGCGTTGAGTTCCTTTGGTGGTCGCAAATTCCTGGGTGGGGGTCGTATAGATGAAGTATCTCCTCTTCCTCGCTGATGAACTTTTTACCTTGTCCTTCTGCGCAGCCTCAGTTGTTCCCTGGCTCCCAACCAAACCGTGAGACCAGTTTGTACTAGGATTTTAGGTGATCTATTGCTAATTTGTACTACTTCAAGGACAATAAGAAGCTTCTGTATGAGCCAGAAGATAATATCTTAGCAACAGTATCAAAACCTGGTATGTCTTTGTGCATAGCCCCCTCGTCTTGGCGCAAGCTCCTCAGTCCTGCACCATCAATCTGAAATTATTTTAATTCCCTATCTCAGCACTCAGGGAGTTTACCAGACTGTCCAAGGTCTGGTTTACTTCCATCAGGGCATGTTTCAAGACATTTTACAAATGGGTAAGACTACAGGGTGTTGCTAGGAAAAGAATATAAATGAAGTGATATACATTGAAGTAAAACACAAAAATAAAAATCGGGGGGGTCTTGAAAGGTGTACTGGTCTTGTAATTTCATGTACACTTCAGCAGCTCCTCTTTCAAAACCTGAGGACATGGCCTTGGGCCATGTGCTACTGAGGAACCTCAGGACTGGAGATCTCTTCATATCTGTCCTGTTCTCCATCTCTACACTTCTTTCCCCATCTTGGTGTTCCCTGCTCTGCCTTTTCTTCCCTTTGTCCCACTCTCTGGTTTTCTCACACAGCCCCTCTGTTCTGGTCGCAACCCAATTTTTTTTTCTCTCTTTGTCTGCCAGGGCCTCAGACTTTTTGTTTATCCTTTTGTTTGGCTCCTCTTCCTTATTTTTGTGTCCCCACTCATCTTTCTCTATCCCCACCTCCCTTTCACTCCCCCCACCCGCTCCTCCATTCCTCATCCCTATTTCAAGCTCTCTATCCCATTTTCTGTCTGACCATCCCTTTTTCTCTCCCACGCTCGGTTCCGGCATCCTCACTCCACCCGTACTTCCCACTCCTCTATCCCTCCTCTTATTGCACTCTTCCCCACTCTGCTGCTCTCACCCTCTAACTGCGGCCTGCTTCCCGGGCAGTCCTACGCCGACACAGTTTCGCCCCCCACTTCGCCCTCGGCCCCCTCTGGTCTCCTCCCTCCGCTAGACCGAGGCTGCCGCCGGCCCCTCACCGTCGTGTCCCGTTTCCCCCCACCCCCGCGGTTGCTACGGCCGCCTCACACATACGCACAGGTACTCCAGAATGCGCATGCGCACTGTCCGTCTTGCCCCCGGCCACGGACCAGCTGGCGGAGCCATGCGCATGCGCGCCACGCCCCGTGCAGCTAGCCTGCCGACCAATGCGCATGCGCGCTATTCCTTCCTTCCGGGCCGCTCTGTGGCCGAGGCCTAACGCAGGCGCGCTGTGGCGTAGTCTCTCAAATCCGCTTCCCCATCGGGGTATTCTCGCCGCTCGCCGCCCTACCCGGAGGGGATCCCACACCGCAGTCGCCATCGCCTCCCGCTCGCCCGCTGAGACTGGGCGAGTTTACTACTTCTCCAAGCCTCGGTAACAAAAAAAGTGACCGGCCGCGGCCGCTGTCCTGGCCGCCACCCCTCACTGGGGTGCAGCACGGCATTTCCGAGGATTGGTGTCAGTGGGGAGCAAGTGCAGCCTGGAGCTGCTCCGCAGTGCCCGCGCACGACGGCTGCCTCTCTGCGGCCACCAGCCTCCCAAGCAGTTGGGGGATACAGTTCTGTTAATGATCCATTCTTACACGATATTCATCATCCTCTCTTCATTTCCCACCCTGTGGCTCTGTAGCTCTGTGCTCAATAGGTTGTGGGTACCATGGAGCTGATGCCATCTCTTCAGCATGATTGGATACAGTCCTGAGTGACTTCTAGCACAGAGGGGAAGGTTACGAAATCCAAAAGCTCTTTGAGGAGACAGATCAGGATTTAAATGAGCTTGCCTTTTATCTTCTGATTTTCCTCCATTGTGCCTGATGTTTTTATGTTACTGCCTCTCTCCCAAAATGGGGCGGAGACCTTCTATATTCCTCACACTGTTAAGCTTCTCCTGGGGTTACTGGTGTCACAGAAGGCTTGTTAAGGCAGCCAGACCATTCCTTTGGCAGGGAGAGGACATGGGTCCATGCCCAGCATACCAGACCTATGCCTGAACATCAAAATCCCTCTGTCCTGCTACGATACCAGCTTCATGCTTCCCACAGATTTTACAGGGAAAGGCACATCTAAATGTGAGCTGTGTCAGACAGAAAAGTTACGCAGCCTTGAGAAGAGCCTACAGCAGTAAGCTGACTTCATCTATGGTGGTGATTATCTACTAGCGTGGAAATTCGAGCCACTTGTTCTAAAGACAAACTGTGAAGCTATTTGAGCCAGCGGAAACAGTTGATGATGCAAGGTAGGTATTTGTGTGAGCTACCTGGCCTCGCTGTTAGCAGTGCCACACCTCTATGGCATGCTGCCAGGGTATGACACACCCTGTCATGTATAGTGTAGTGAACAATTACACATTAGGAATTCAGAATTAGCCTCACGCACCTATCTGATGCATTAGTAGAGACAAAAATCTCCCCTTGCAAATCTCTTATATGCTTAAATAAAGAGTGTCTCAGCTGGTGCAAGGCAGACTCTGACCAGGACAATTGCAGATTTTGAAGACATTTGCTAGTATTCCTCATTCCTTTAACCTGTCCTTCAAATTAGAGCTAGGCGTAGTTTAACCTACAGCTAATTTCACACTGTAATTTTAAGGATCTGGATTTACATCATCATTCTGAACACAAGGATCAGTTTACATCATCATTCGAACACAATGCACATCTGGCAAATATAGAGGTTTGTGCTACAGAGCAGATCTGATGCACGCTTGCATCTATAAAATATTTTTAAAGGTTTAATATAGTGAGACAAAATTAATCTTTTCTTAAATCATCCCTTATTAAAAAAATATAAGCATTTGTAAATATGTATAGAATTATAAAGTAGCAAGTTGCAAATGCTTCTTGCTTCCTGGTACAGTAGGACTCAGGAGTGGCAGGTAAATTTGGTGTTAATCTGTTTAGTGTATTAGGTCCAGGGCTGCAGAACTGACCAGGAACTTTTGCAAAAGACAGCTAATCTCATTCCTCTGGCAGGTCCAAACTGATGTTGTTTCACCTCAGATTCAGACTTTGTTCCTTCTCCTTTTGACAAACTGGTGTTTACTGGTGCGAGCAAGGCTGGAGCTGTAGGAACTAGCAGGATCCCTAGAAAGATGTAGCTAGGTGTTTTACAAAGGGAGAGATTTCCAGTTGCTTATGGGGAAGAGAATTCAGGCACTGAGAACTCCTCTGTACAGTGTTCCTCTGGGAAAGTACATCCTTTGCTTTGGGATCATCCTGTAGCTGGACTGGACAAAGCTACTCACAAGTACAATTTGCATCATGTTCCTTTAATCATCAAGTACTCAGATCCCCTTATAAGATACATGCTGTGAAATGGTATAGGATAAAATGTTCTCAGATTGTACATCTAGACCTGAACACCAAAGCAGGACATTGGATTGCTGTGGAAGTACTGTAAAATGAAAAATCCAGTTGTACCTATTGCAACTGTTAGGGGAACTGATCTCCTACGACAGGGCAACCTGCTTATTGGATGAGGAAAAGGCTGTGGATGTTGTCCACCTTGACTTTAGTAAAGCCTTTGACACTGTTTCCCACAGCAGTCTCCTCGCAAAACTGGCTGGTCGGGACTTGGATGGGCACACGCTTTGCTCGGTAAAAAACTGTCTGGATGGCCGGGCCCAAAGAGTTGTGGTGAACAGAGTTAAATCCAGTTGGTGGCCAGTCATGAGTGGTGTCCCCCAGGACTCAGTTTTGGGGCCACTCCTGTTTAACATCTTTATTGATGATCTGGACAAGGGGATCGAGTGCACCCTCAGTCAGTTTGCAGATGACACCCAGTTGGGTGGGAGTGTTGATCTTCTCGAGGGTAGGGAGGCTCTGCAGAGAGACCTGGACAGGCTGGAACCATGGGCTGAGGCCAACTGGAGAAGTTTCCAAAGGCCAAATGCCGGGGGCTGCCCTTGGGCCACAACAACCCCCAGCAGCGCTACAGGCTTGGGGAGGAGTGGCTGGAGAGCTGCCAGTCAGAGAGGGACCTGGGGGTGCTGACTGACAGCCGGATGAACAGGAGCCATCAGTGTGCCCAGGTGGCCAAGAAGGCCAATGGCATCCTGGCTTGTGTCAGCAATAGCGTGGCCAGCAGGGACAGGGAAGGGATCTTACCCCTTTACTCGGCACTGGGGAAGCCACACCTCGATGACTGTGTTCAGTGTTGGGCCCCTCACTACAAAAAGGACATTGAATGACTCGAGCATGTCCAGAGAAGGGCAATGAAGCTGGTGCAGGGTCTAGAGCACAGGTCGTACGTGGAGCGGCTGAGGGAACTGGGGGTGTTTAGTCTGGAGAAGAGGCTGAGGGGAGACCTCATCGCTCTCCACAGCTACCTGAAAGGAGGTTGCAGAGAGCTGTGGATGAGTCTCTTTAAACAAGTAACAAGTGATAGGACAAGAGGGAATGGCCTCAAGTTGTGCCAGGGAAGGTTTAGACTGGACATTACAAAGCATTTCTTTCCAGAACAGGTTGTTGGGCGTTGGAATGAGCTGCCCAGGGAGGTGGTGGTGTCACCATCTCTGTAGGTGTTTAAGAGTAGGGTTGACATTGGTCTTAGGAATATGGTGTAGTTGGGAACTGTCAGTGTTAGGTCAAGGGTTGGACTGGATGATCTTCAAGGTCTTTTCCTACCTCGATGATTCTTTGAGTCTGTAACTGAACTTCAGATTGGATTTTTCGTGTCACTACCCATCTCTTCTAACACCAAAAAACAGTTGCAGAGAGAACCAGAAGGTGCTTGTTGATGTTGTTTCCTACTTGGTCTTCCCCAGAAAGACCTTATCATCTTCAGAAATTTAGCACAGGTCCTTGCATTCTCTTAAGTGGTTACCTTTGCCAGTTCTGCCAGCTTCCATCACACCAGGCACTGCTGTGTCATTCCTCAAAAAGTGAGCTGCTCTCTCAGTTTTCCCTTATAGGAGAGCATAATTTGACCTGGGGAGGGTACACTACCCTAATCTGACACAAGCAGGTACAATCTAATCTGACACAAGCAGGTTTTCTTGTGGAAAACTTAAACCACTGGAATTGCAGGAAAGGTGAAGAAACAACAGAAGCCCAAGTAAAACACGCTTATCCTGAATGTCTCTGCATCTGGCAGGGGACCAGACGGTAAAGAATACTGCCATATTTAACTTCTGCTGCTTACTGTTATTTTCTTTTACAGGCAGCACTGCAGGCAGGGCTTTTCCTGTTATAAAATTGGACAAAGTGGCTCACTGTAACAGACTTGACAGATCACATACCTATGCTTCCCTGCTGCAGTGGAAGCTAGCTCCTGTAGCTCTAGCTCCTACCACCCTTTAGCTGAGAGGCACAGTTAGCTCTAGCATTAAGGTGGAAGAATTGTTATGCTGTACAAGAACCACAGTCCTTAGAAGTTTTCCACTAGGTTTGTGATAAGCATGGCTTCTACCTGTGTGAAAGCTTCATCCCTGATCCAAGTAAATGAAAAAATGGCTAAAATGTGATGATCCTCTCTTCTGCAACATATCTTTAGCTTAAATCAAGTCAGCTAAAACTCCCTGTTACCTGCATAGTTGTCCAGTCCCACTTTGACCTTTCTGGCAGCACAGCCTTTCTTACAGTCCAGACTCACAAATAAATACAATATTGAGGGAAGCACAGCAAAGGTGCCCCAGTGACTCTGCTCTAGCTCTTGCTTATTCTGCAACAGGACACAGCTATCCCAGTATGCCAGCTGAGCATCTGCAGTCATAGTCCCTGCCCAAAGTCCTGAGTTCTTCTTTACTAGAACCTTGGCATCCCTTTTTTGGCCGGTTAGGCTTCAGGAACATCTGCTGTTGCTGCATCTTCTGCCTTGACCAAATCACCATTTGTCTCAGCATGGAGCCGCTTGTAGTCAGTGTGGAAGAAGATGACATAGAAACAAGCCATAGCACTGCAGAGGCCAGCCAGCACCAGTACTGGAGCTGCAAGGAAGATAAACTTTTAGACAGTGAATTCACAACTCCCCACAGGTGCAGAAGTCTAAAGATCAGCTCCCTAGGGACTGCACAGCCTGGGTGGTCTCCCGAGGGCTACCCCTGAGGACAATGTGCAGCTCACAGTGGGGCAATGCCAGTTTAGTAACAGCCAAACTTTATCGCATGTAAGAGTGACATAGGAAGAGGATTTGGGTGAAATGTGGAAGGTTTCCAGGACTCTTGTACTGCATGACCCCACAGGCTGGAGGTCTTACACTGGTGCAGTGTGTTTGTGGGAGCATGTGTTTCCATGTATGTATGCACATTTGTGTGTTGGGGGTAGTGAAGAAAGTTACAAGAAAGACTGAATCAAAACACTTGAGCTTCCTAAGAGAACAAGTCAACATAGGCAGTGCTTTTTGTTGTATCATCTGAGAGCAAAATGTAGGAAAGGTTCACTAAGGATAAACTTTAATTAAAGAAAAATTTGTATTGAAAGAACCTTTTCTGAAAACAAAAAAACTAAATCTAAAAAGCTGTGCACAAGGCCTAGAAATAGTTACCTTCTTATTCCAGCAGTGCCTTAAATAAAGTCTTCATGCCTTTCTCCACAGATGTCCCTGCATGTATCAGACCACAAGGTACCTAACCATGAGATCGAGCTCTGATCTGCTAAGATGGAGAACTGTGGACTTTCGGACATGAAGCAGTCAACTTGCTTTTTGAAAGTAGTTATTGTGAAGCATTGTTCCCTGTCAGCTAGTGGAGCTTGTTCTGGGGAGTTTCTGCTCAGCCAAGATGGTTATTTTTAAAATATGTTTGCCAGCCTTTGTGTTACAGTGTGTCCCCAGGACTTGGTGTCAATATTACATAAATATGAATCAGCTGAGAGTTCGAGACTGGGGTTTAGCCTGCAGTGAAAACACACCTGTGCTCCTGTTCATCTCAGTTGCTGTCTGTTCTCCTGACCAGCTAGGAAAGGAAGGGAAGTGTGGAACAAATCAGAACAAAGCTGTACTGGCATGTTACAAACCCAGGCAGCTGTGTTTGCAGAAACAAGGGAAGTCTCTTTCATTCAATGCATTTGTAGTCTAGTCTTGGCCTCCCACACTGCAAAGCAGCACAGGCTGTGCTACATGGACAGTGTCTTCCCCCCAGAACTGCTTTCTAGCTAGGTGAATCTCAGGTCTCTGCAGGGTGGCTGTAAGGGAAATTTTAACACAGAGCCAGCAGCAACATTTATGGCAACTTAGACTTCTCATTTCAGTCTTGCAGGCCTGATTTAGCAGGACCAGCAAGGAGTGCACCATCAGGTTTCGAAAGAGATATGCTACAATAGGAATCAGTCTTGCAGGGTCCCTCACAGTGAGACCTGCAGGAGAGTGTGGGTTATGTGGGGTGCAACTGAGTGTCCAGCATCATTTCTCAAGAACACACTTACTTGTCCAGTCCAGGGCTCCATCCTGGTCAAGGGCACAGGTGGAGGATGGATCCTCAGAAACACGCACAGTGAAGGCTTGTAGCAGAACCATTAAAATCACACCTTCAATCTGGCTGTGGGGAGAAGCCAACAGGCAGTTGTAGTGCTAGTTGTAGTTCATCACTGCTGCAGACAAGTCCAGCTTCCTCAGCAGGAAGAAAGTGAGGCCTGATTCTGAAGCAGGGTCCTTGTATCAGAGAAAGCTACTGATGCTTCCTCTAGCCCAGGTGCTTGATTTATTGGCGCTGGCTCACATGGTGTCCAGGTCTAGTTTTCAGCAAACCCTCAAGCATGGTGCCAGCATCTTAGGACCACTATATTCTCCCTCTGGAGGCAGATAGGTGTTGAACTATAGCTGTCAAGGAGCTGAGGCTTAGTCACTAGGCATAGACTTTGAAATACCTCTCTCTGCAGAGCTGAGGATGAGAAAAAGTCAGACTGACTTCAGCCTCCTCTTCATTCATAGCTGGCTGGTGGCAGCAACGAAGTCCACCACCAGTGGCAGACAACAGTCTTCAAAGGCAGTCTAATACCCCTTTTTCACTAATGTTTCCTGCTGTTGCAGCTTCACCTGATGCATACATAAGGCACCAGGCTACATATATCACTGCTTAAGGCTACAAGTCATTCCTGCTGCAGTCTAGTGCCATCCTAAGCATGTGAATTGATCACAGGAAGGACTGTCACTGCCCCATCTGTTTTGGCCAGCTGCACTGTGAGTGATGAGCCCCATCTCCCTCAGCAAAGTACTGAGACCTGACAACTACATGTACTGCCATGGGGATAGGAGGCCTTCTCAGGCATACAGTTCCCATCTGCATCAAAAGTACGTGATGCTGGGCATGGTTAAATCCCACTTTGTGCCAAGCAAGGGAGACCTTCATCTTTCTTCTTGCTTTTCTCACATCATTTCCACATACTTCTCCGTGCTTCAAAACCTTTAGCTCTCCAGCTCTGTGACTGAGCCAGCTAGCTCCCCCCTTGCCATGGTCATGTGCAGAGACACCAGAGAGAATTGTGCTAGGAGAAGGGTGCAAGATAGCTAGCACTGATGTCCATGCGCGCGCGCGTGTGTGTGTGTGTGTGTGTTTGTTTGTCAATTGGATTTAACTGCCTGCTTACCTGGCAACAAAAATCAGTCCTGTAGATGTGCCCTCTCCTACAGGGTATGAGCACTCCACAGCCAGCTCCATGGCAATGGGGTAGATGGCAAAACCAAAAAAACCAAAGACTGAGCTGGTGATGGCCAGCGTGATGGCCTGATGTCTGAACCGAGAACTCTGCAGGCAGAAAAGCAACACCAAAGTCTCAGTGTTGGCACCATTGCACAGAAAATCTCTGTAACCTGCAGGAAGTCCCAAGGGCTCACTGTTCCCACCAGTACCTTCCCTATCTGTTCCTGAAATCACTCTTTTACCTCCAGCCTTCTAGAGTCAACAAATGGCTACATGATTGAGACTTATCTCTTGAATTTAAGCAAGAGGGAAGAGGATCAGCAGAATTACTTGAAAAGCACTGGTGTGGTTATATTACAGTGATTTGACTTCCTGGTCAGTAAGTTACCAGGAGGATGCTCAGCATATCTCCAGTACCAAGTGAAACACATACCTTCCTCCCAGTGCAAGCTAACATTTCAAAACTGGTGTCTGCAGTGGGTTACATACGAGAATTCAGTGGGTTGCTGCAGCTCACTGGTAAAATTACTCCTTATCATATCAGACATCAGTTTGTAACATTGGGGTTTTACCAAAAAAAACCCTCCATAAAACAAACAAAACCATCTGAAACATTCACAGACCCTGGAGATTAGTTTAGTGCCTAGAAGAGCCTTGTCCCTAACTGGAGCAAAAAGCATGGCCTTATCCAATGCTATTAAAATCAAAGGCATAAATCCTGCAGCCACAGTGCTGGTACCTCCTTCCTTAACCATGTAATAAATTCCCACAAAGGAATACAAGGTGTCTGTCCTGGCATGGCTGCAGCAGGCCTGGCCCAGCTAGTAAAGTCAAGGAAAACTCTGTATGTCTGGAATCTGAGTTCAAAGGATCAAGGTATCAAGCAGATTTGAATAAGTATGTTTTTTGTTACTACTTTGAACTAGTTCAGCTGTATGGGATGAAGAGGACAGAGGGAAGGGGAGAGGTTTGCTTGTTGCTCCTGACACAGCCTCTTGCCTACTCTGTACTTTGCCTGCGCCCTGGCATGATGACTTGTATTCAGAGCATCCCTGCAATAAATGCCCGAGTACTGAAGGGGGAAATGCTAGGTCTGCTTTAGGCACCTTGTCCTACACTAAGAAAGACACTGCATTTGTCTGTCCCTTCAAAGTGGAGCTAACACCACTGGGACCTTGGCCCAGGGGGAGGTGTGATCACACTGTATTGGGAAATCCGGATTTTTCAACACACAGGAGAAACTCCCAGCACAAGCCTGTTGGGAAAACAGAGGCTAGGAGTCCTTCTGGGTCCATGCTCAGTTTCCTGCTGGATGATGGCTCCCATTGGCAATGACCCTGCATGAATGCAGTACTTGCTCCAGCCCCACAGGTATAAAAGTCTCCAGGTTCTGCATTCCTCTCCTGGCGGGATTAAAGTGTCCCCCTTTTCTGCATCTCCCTTGTCTTGTCCTCCTCGAAGAACTGCTGCAGAACTAAGCACATAACTAGGTCCTACACTCCTGGCAGCCACCACCATTAAAGGCAGGTTTTGGGAAAACTATGGCATTCTTGCTCATTTTTATAAGATGGCTATTTAGCAATTCCATTTCTTTCTGGAAAAAATGGTCTCAGGGACAGTAAGCAAACTTGGTGATCCAACGTAAGGAAGTAAAATTGTGCCAATTTATTTATATCCTGCAGCAGACTGCCTCAGGCTCCACAGTGATTGTGAAATCCTCAGTAAAGAGGCTTTTTTACAAACATTCCTTGCACAGAGGGATGAGATCTCAAGGCATAACACATGGATTAATAAATACTATGACAACCAAATGACCTTGGTTTGAGTTGATGATTTATCAGATGGCAACAGAACTAAGCCCACAGATATGGTACAATGCAAGGGAGAACTCACCACTGCGAACACAATGCTGGCAAGTGCACTCAGACAGAAACAAATCTTGGTGGACTCTATAAACTTCCTTGTCCGGTCGACATACAGGCTTAGCAGGAAAGCACCCAACAAACCACACACTGTGAACAGTGCACCATTCAGGCCAGCAAATTCCTGGAGGGCAGAACAAGTAACTGAGCAACTAGAACAGTTAGGAAGGAGGTTTTAATGTCACTGACCCATCTGTGTCCTGCTAGTGGGTCACTTACTGAGGTGGGAAAAGCTTCCCTGCCTTTTCCAATAGCTGAGGCCTCCACAGGGTTCTAAGTGGCAAATAACAGGGCCCAAGTGCTGCTACAAGCATGTGGGTATAGCAGGGTTACAGCACTCCCACAGTCTCAATGATGACAAGTCTCTGCACACCTGGCAAGGGAGGTTAAGTACAGAGCAGCAGCAGTTGCCTGGCATTAAGTGCCCCAGCTGAGGCATGAGTCTGTTCCTGTCTTCTCCAGGGGCCAGTCAAATGCCTTGTCCACACCGGTGGCAACAGGTCCAACTGCCTTGGGATCTGCTCTTGTTTATAATCATGCCTGTGGTCCTTTTCTTATCAGGGACCTGCACTGGTGGAATGCCTTCCACAAGGCTGGCAGCCCTAAAGCATGTTAGATGAGGCACAGAATTTCCTGGCTGTATCAAGGAGCTATAATTAGAGAGGCAGTGAGCAATAGTTAGGGTAGGGTATGTGCTTTGTCTCCTGCAGTGACTATTTTTGCTTGTCCACTCCTTCAGCTCTGTAAGAATTCAAATGCAGACATCGGGAAAGTATGGGGAAGCTTTCACAAATTTGCGAGCCTTGGGGGCAGACTGGAAGGAAAGGGTATCTGAAATAGCTTCTGTGGACTAAAGGTCCAGGGCAAGCCAGTCATACAGACAAAATCATGATGCACAGAAAGCAAGGCTGCAAAATTTAAAAGCCTTCCAGTTAAAAGACAATGGAGTGTGCAAATGTGACCTGGCTATGGAGCATTGAGCCAGGTATTGCTATTACAGGGACAGAGCAGGAAGAACCAGCTGTGTGCATACTGTCCTCAATTGTAAATGCAGTGCCTGGCCCATGTCATGGGAAGAATAACAGCTGTTACAGTACCTGTGAGTTCTCTGCTGTCCTGGCTTTATATAAGAGGAAAAGGCCTCAGCCTGCCTTCTGCTTCAATCTAGGGCCTGCCTGGGCCCCACCCTACTCTGGGAAAGGTGTCAGAAGGCTGCATAGATATCAATGCTCTGGAATGGCTTAAAAAAACCACAATACTCTTTTTTTCCTAAAAAGTGTTTGAGGAGTAAATGTTTGATTTGCAAATGGGAGCCTGGCCATAGGCAGTGATAAAAATGCAGATCACCCATTATACTGAGAGATTGACTGCTCTGGATTAATGTACTGCTTAATGCATATTAGATAATGTGAGCAAATAAGAAATAGGAAACAGTGCAGCATATTCAACTGTCTTCATTTTGCTTTGAGTCTCCCATCAGGGAAAATAATTTTGATTGTATCATAGATGATGTGGACAATGGGGAGGAAAGGAGGAATACTCACATTTGAATATCCTTTTTCACAAAGGATCTGTTCTAGCAGAGCTGAAAAGCAGGTGAATGTCCCAATTCCTCCTCCAAAGCACACTGCCAGGATGATGTATGGCTTGTTTCTCAAGAGCTAGAGAAAGAAGTTAACATATCATTTATACAAGTAGAGAGAGAAAAAAGGCCTGGATGTTATAGTAGACTTGAGGGTCAGTGGCTCTGACCCCTCAGTTGGAAATGTTAATGGGGCAACCCGGTGATCATTAGAAGAGTTTGGCTCTCTCCTGTCAGTTCAGCCAGAGAACAAGTTAAAATGGGGACTGTGTAGAGAGAAAGGATCTCTTCAGTACCCAAATTCTTCCTTCACTTTGCCATGTGCTGTCCTACCTCTTGTCAAATCTGCTTAGAAGGCTCAGTTTGTGTTATCCTCTTGGATGAGCCCAGGTGTGCCTGTTTGAGCTAGCTGAACAGCAATCAGCCCACAGCTGAATGGTCAGATAGCATCTCGTGCAGCTTTGCCGTGAGTGGCTTCCACTTGCCGTGGAAGGAAGGGATCCTGGTTTCCTTCCGCGGGTTTCCATGGTGGGTTTGGTGGAGTTCAGAGTCAGCATTATCAGCATATCCCTGTCTGACAGGACTGCACCCCTCAGTCCAGCACTGGTCTCTCTCTGTGCTACAGCACTTACCATTTTAAGACTCACAAGGAATGGCTGGGAGGTGGAGGTAGTGGCACTGGCTGAAGGAGGTGTTGGAGGAACCTTCTCGTGAATTCCCACAGTAGCTAGAGCGCAGGCTGTTACTGCTGGGACAGCATAAACACCCAGCTACACAACACAAAGTAAAGACATGTTACCAGTCTGTCCAGGTCCACTGCCTCCAAATCAATAAATCAGCTGGACCCCAATCAGCCCATCTGGCTGATTAATGCAGTTCTCATTTACCATCAATGGGATGTGCTTTCCTTCAGGAACTAGTGCAGGTGACAGCACATTTGCTATAAGAACACCCAGGGGATTGGCTGGAAGGAAATAAAACAGAGACACTTTTTTCATGCAAGCAGTCTGAATCATGTGTCCACCTCTACTGCCAGTCAACACCAGAGCTGCAGTGTGCAGCAGAGCAATGAGTAGGGACACAACAATGCATATACAGGGAGAAACCAGAAGAGGAACATTTGGAGAAGTTGACTGTGTGGTCTTACTGTTGCCACATTGGTTCTCTCACCCCCATGAAGCCCATTCTATAAACCCATTTCTGTACAACCCCTAACTCCTGTAAACTGATTTTCATCTATGAATTACAGTGTCCTCACCCTCACCAGGCCAACTCAGGAAATGCTAAGCTGAAGGGACAGAATGATGGATGAATCTGTATTACCTATCCTGATGTTACACAGCAACAGTAACAAATAGAGGTGCTTTTCATTCATTCTTTACACCCCCTATGCCATTAGGCATGTATACATGTGGATAAGATCCTCCTGAGTCTTCTTAAGCCCCAACTCTCTCAGCCCTGTCTGGTATGACAGATGCTCCATTCCCTTAATTGTCTTAGTGGCTCTTAACTGGACTTATGCTTGTATGTCCATTTCCTCTTTTATTGAGGAGCCTAAAACTGGACACAGAACTTCAGATGTGGACAGGGGACGTCCCTCAAGCTGCTAGCAATGCTCTTCCCAGTGGTCACCAGGATGCAATTGGTCATCTTTGCCAAGAGGGCATGAAAAGCAGAAAAGCCCTATGACAGCTCTCTAAAGTGACACTAGATCAACCCTGACACCTTTCAAGCCAATACATTTCCTCAGTAAAGCCCAAGCTGGCATACAAGTTGATCTCTGCTAGCAACTAAAAAAATTACATAGCAGAAGAGTATTTTGGACACTTGTCTGTACTGGAGTAGGGGGTTGCATTGTTGTGAAGTTGCAGCTGAGCAGTGTGTGAAGCAGTACTTCTGGGACTCAGCTTGGGAACATCCAAAATTGCAGAGACAATTTTTTAACTTTAAGGCAATGTTCTGCAAATGGTCAAACAAGTGAAGTTGTTTTTCTAGTAGTGGGCAGGGATGAGGTTAGGAAAGCCAAGCCAACCAGGAATTTAGTCTGGTGAGAGATGTGAAGGACAACAAGAATGGCTTCTACAAGCACATTAGCAGCAAAAGGAAGGTTAGGGACAAGGTAGGCCTGCTGCTGGGTGGGCAGGAGATTTACTGAAAAGGACATGGAAAAGACCAAAGTATTCAATCCCTTTTTCACCTCAGTCTTTACTGGTAAGACTGCCTTTAGTCCTGAGACCAGAGGTAAAAGTCTGGAGCAAGGAAGATTTGCCCTCAGTGGAGGACTAGGTTAGGGAACATTAAATAGACCACACGTACACAAGTCCATAGGACTCATGGCATGCACCAGTGAGTGCTGAGGGTTTTCACTGCAAGGTGAGGCTATTTTCACTGCAAGAGAGCAAGTGAGGAAGTGCACAGTGTTTTTACTGCAAGACCATTCTTGGTTATCTTTAAAAAGCCATGACAATTCCAAGAGGCTTGGAAGACAGGAAATGTCACTCCTATATTCAAGAAGGGCAAGGAGGAGGATCCAAGGAACTCCAGTCCTTTCAGTCTCACTTTGATCCTTGGGAAGGTCATGGAACAACTAATCCTGGACACTATTTCCAGTCACATGAAGGACAACAAGGTGCACAGGAGTAGTCAGCAAAGGAGAAATGCTTAACCAACCTAATAGCCTTGTACAGTAAGATGACTGGCTGGGTGGATGAGGGGAGGGCAGTGGATGTTTTTTCACCTCAGCTTTGCTAAGGGTGTTGACACTGTTTCCTATAACATCCTCACAGACAAGCTGACAAAGTACTGGCTAGATAAGTAGACAGATTAACTGAAAGTCAACTGAACAGCTGGGTCTAGAGGACTAATCCTCACTGGCTTGAAGTCCAGCTGGACGCCAGTCACTAGTGGTGCACCCCAGGGGTTGATACAGGGGTCAATACAGTTTAACCTTAACAAAAGACCTGGATGATATAGGGCAGAGTACACCTACAGCAGGTTTGCAGATGATGATACTGGGAGAAGTGGCGGATAGAAGAGATGGCTACACTGCCATTCAGAGGAACCTCAACAGACTGGAGAAATGGGCAGAGGAGAACACTGTGAAGTTTAACAAGAGGAAATGTAAAGACCTGCATCTGAGGAGGAATAACTCCATCCACCAGTACACACTGGGGCTGACCAACTGGAAAGTAGCTCTGCAGAGAAGGACCTGGTGTCAGGGGTAGGTGTCCTGCTGGACACCAACCTGACCATGAGCTAGCAACACAACCTCATGACAAAGGCCACCAGCATCCTGGGCTGCATTACACAAAGTGCTGTCAGTGGGAGGTGATCCTTCCCCTCTACTCAGGACTAGTGAGGCCACATCTGGAGTATCATGTCCAGTTCTGGGCTCCCCAGTATGAGGGAAACACAGACTTACTGTTCCAGCAAAGGGTCAAAGAGATGACTAAGGGACTGGAGCTTCTGTCATGTGAGCAGAGACTGAGAGAGCTTGGACTGATCAGCCTGGAGAAGCTGCTGGAATGTGGTTTTGCAGAGAAGGACATGGGATCCAAGTTGACCATGAGCCAGTGATGCACCCTTGCAGAAAGGTGTCCAACAGCATCCTGGGCTACATGAGGAAGAGCACTGCTAGCAGATGGAAGGTGTGATCATTCCTCTTCTACTCAGCCCTGGTGAGAAGCACCTGGAGTGCTGACCCCAGTGCTGGGCTCCTCAATAAAAGAGAGATACACACTTAATGGAGCAAGCTCCGTCAAGGACCAAAGACATGATTAAGGGACCAGAGCATCTCTTATGTATAAAGATGCTGGGACAGCTGGGACTGTTCAGCCTGGAGAAAAGAACCTTGATGAGAGCTTGCAAAGAGAGAACCAGACTTTTTCTCAGTGGTGCCCAGTGGCAGGATAAGAGGCAATGGACACAAACTGTAACACAGAAAACTGTCTGAATATAAACATTTTTACTGTGATGGTGGTTGAACACTGAAACAAACTGCTCAGAGAAGTTGCAACATAGGGTTATCCTCAGAGATAGTCAAAACCTGACAAGACATGACCCTGGGCAACTGGTTCTAGCCAACCTTGCTTGAGCAGCGTGTTGGATGAGATGATCCCAAGAGGTGCCTTCAAACCTTGTCTGTTCTGTGATTCTGCTGAGGCATCATTAGCACACAACTGTAGCATTTCTGCTGTGTACTTGGGAAAGTACTAGCTTATGCTCCTGATGAAATGTTACCTGCTTCTAAGTACATGGACACAATTGATCAACAGTTTCCAAGGAAATGGATTAAAGCTTCTTCTTTGGAGTAAAATGCACGTGGGCATTCTAGGGAACTGCCTGAAAAGTACTGTCAGGTGTTTCCATGAACTAACAGCATGCTGAAGCAATTCTAGGAGGTATGGATGAAGGTTGGAAATGCAAGCACTAGTTTAAATTTGAAAAGACTAAGTTCGAATTTCTGAGTAATTTTAGGGTTTCAGCCACCTTCTCTTCCTGTGAAGAAAAATTATATGAGCCAAGACTAAGAATGGAAAGGAGATCACTGAAGCTAATCAACCGTACATTATGGTCCAGGGGTTCTAGCTTGCAGTATTCTGCAATGGGGCTGTGTATTTTGTGGACAGTGACACTGGTGCACTAAAACTGCAGGGTGAAGAATGCTGACATGCTGACAAAACACAGCAAATGAAGAATCCCACAGATTAAGCAGATGCCACTTCAGTGGACTCAGGCAAATCTTTCTTGTGACACAGGAGAATTTCTCATAGTTTTCATGGGGGATCAGTTCTTGGCCCTGCACTGTTTATCCATGACTAAGTCTCTACAAGTGATGGGACCAAGATAAAATAAATGCTCAAGAGCACAGCTCAGACATAGTGATTTCAGCTCTTCAGCTGGATCATGGGTGCAGCATCCAGTTTTGCCAGCACACAAGCACAGGGAAGCCTACCCAGAGCCACTAATAAGAGCTGTGGGGATAGTGACAGGAAGCTGTAGGGCCAATTTCTGTGTGCAGCACTGATACCAACAGTATTGCAAAGCTGAGTGCTGCTCTGGTGTTAACACAGGAAATGGATATTGAAAAACTGGAACAAACTGAGAGAAAAAGCTCATGTGAGCAACAGGCAGACATGGAGACATGGGGAGAGGCAAAGGGAAATGCACCTGTAAAGTGACTGGGTTGGAGCTGTTCAGGCTTTCTAGACAAAGGAGACAAGAGGTGACTGACCATAACTACCTGACAAACAGGTGCCACAAGACTGAATAGCTGGGGGATAAGGAGCATCAAGACAAGAAGTAACATGTAGACATTTGCCAGTGAGGTAATTAACTACTGGAGTAAATGACTGGGGCTGTGACAGATGCTTCTTCTAGGCAATATTTAAACTTTCTTGAAATGAAATGCTGATTTTGTACAGCAGACAGTAATGAGTGTAACCAGACATTATTAATGAAAGTCCTTTAGACAGCAATATGCAGGTGTTGCAGCAGATAACCATCACAGCCCATTCAGTTCTCACACCGATATCTCCACATGCTACAGATTGAACAGCTTCAGGTCTTGAGTTTCCACTGTTCCTTGCTCTTCAGTTTTATGCATTCCCATAGATCAATTCAGTCCTGTAAAGGCTGAGGACACTATGTGAAAGAAATGCTCTTTGGCTGCTCTGACTGCTGTCTCACTTAAAAAGCAGAAGCTGTCTGCAGGATGAGGTCCTTCAGGGCAGTGAAGGACTAAGTGCCCAGTGGTCCCTAGCAGTACTTGTACTGCACCACACAGATGACAGAGCTTCTCCAGCTGGGAAGGTGAAAGTCTGTCTCAGTGGTGGGAAACACAGTGAGCCATCAGATTCATCCCTATTCTAGGGAAGGCAGTGCAAAAAGAACTTATTTGTTCTGACACCATAAATCAGTTCTTGCTAAACAACAGTTCAGCATGCTCTAGGATTACAACAGCATTGGGAAAGATGTATAGGGGTGCTCCTATACTGCCTTTTCCCCATGCCTACCCTTTCCCCACAACTCCAAGCAGTGGGGAGGGAAGGTGATTGATGGCTATTTTGAGGGAAGGGCAGGTGGGGATCCCACACACATGTAGGTACTGCAAGACTTCCCAGCTGAAGCCAGTGAGCCAGCCCAGTTTCTAGGGCATCTTTTGGGTTCTTGGAGAAAGGAGGAAAAGATCTCTTCTGTCTGCTGGGGAAAATGTCACGTGGAGGGAGGAAACAGGTCTGTCAAGTGCAGTATCCTGTCTCTAGCAGGGCCCAAAGGAGCCAAGAGAGGAATGAGATTGGAGTAACCATATCTGATGCTTCCTCTCCAGCGTCCCAGCTTCCAAGCACTTTGCAAGGCAGATGTGGTTTCTGTGTGGGTAGTCCTGCTGCATTTAGCATCCCCAACATGTTTGTGTGACCAACTGAGTCTATTTATCTATGCAAGGATAAATACCATTTGGGAATACATGCTCGGCCTTGCTACTGCACAAACTGGTGGACAAAACTGCTGCTGCAGCCTCACCTCTATCCAGTTACAGAATTTAGCAATTGTGAGCACTGATATCACATGCAAGTTGGACACCTTCTCAACATGATGCAGAATTAAGGCCACTAAAGACTTCAGACTTAGTAACATTGAGGGCTGTCCCCAATCTCTACAGTATTTAGGCAAAGATGATCACCTCATCATGGCAGAGAGGAAGGAGGCTGGGAGCCTGGGTGGCTTACTTTGAACTTTGCAGGAACAGGAAATGCCTGCCTGTCTTGTGGGGCCTTGAAGGCACTAGTTTATTGCACATGGCTATGACACTCTTGAGTGGAGATGTATTTGCAGGGGCAAATGGCTATACTACAGAGGTGTTCCTGGCAAAAAATCCTATCAAGGTCTGGGAGGCAGCAATATTACTTTGCAGCTATCACTTACACATTGATCCAATCATATTTGCTTTTGCTCTCTGGTGGTCTGGGAACCATAGTGCTGCTAGTTTTGTTGGTGAAAAGATGATAAGGGGCTGTGCCAGTGCACAGAGGCACTGCCCAGTAAACAGGTACCAGTAACTCTGGGAACCCAAGCTCAGGAACTTCAGGATGCCGAACATCCGGATGATGCTTCCCATCATGTTCAGCCATGCGCTCAGGATCACCTGCAGAAACAGCCAGGGGTTGCATGCTAAAGCCTGAAGGGCAGAACTTAATGCAACAGAGTAGCATGAACAGGTCTTCAGATGCCTATAGGTTAATAATCACTGCATGGATAGCTACCTGCAGAGCATCCCCACCCCTTTGGGCCTCTGCAGGATGTTCTTGATGGAACAGTGAGCTACCCATCTCCTTAGGGAGCAAGGTGGATATCCTGGCCCCCCGTGAGAACTGCACCACAATGTGGCTTATGGAAGACTTCAGACACTAGCATGGAATTTATGAGAAATCCAAAGTTCACTAACTACACTGCAAGTTTGTGCCACCACCCATATTTTTCTGTGGCAATCCAAAGATCATGGCAATGAGTCATCCAGCATACAGGTCCCTCAAATGTTCTGCTATACCACTTGCATGCTAGTGTTTTAGTGCCACATTCCACAACACTCATGCTTCTGGGAAGACTGTGGAAAGCTCCCAAGGTGGCTTAACACAGACCAAAGTCTGAGCTGACAGGGGTCCCTTGCTTGCACCCTGCCCTGCTGCTCCTTAAACTGGCCCTACAAACAAAACACCTGTGCTAACACTTTTCCATAGCAAATGGTACCCAATTACAGCAAGCTCTTCACAGAGTCAGCTCACAGCATCTGTCCCTGTCAGTTGGCTAACACAAGAAAAAAATGAAATAGGAAAAGGCAAGTAGGGATGCAATCTTATCCACTTTTCCCACTGCTCCCCACCTCAGAGGTGATGTGACAGCTATTACTAAAGACTCCCATTTACAATATGTGTGTTAGTGCTTTCTGCAGCTACTGCTGTCTCTAGGTGAAATGCCCTCAGTGAAACAGAACAGTTCAACTCACAGCACATCTGAGCCCCACGCTGTCGAGAACCCATGTTGACACCAGACCAAATGGGATTGAGATGAGGAGATACACTATTGAGAGCCAGTTGACCATCTCCAGGGAAATGTGGAAGTAGGCAGCTGTCTTATCAGCCACAGGAGCAAACGTCAGCCACAGCTGCAGAGTAGAGAACAAAGACGGGTAAGCATGAACACGTCTACCAGAAACTCAGCATCCCCTCAAACTGTCTGAGTTGTGAAAGGGCTCACTATCTTAGTCTCTTCCTGAACTTAGGATGTTAAGGCTGATAAGAAACATTCAAGCACCCAGTGTCTGCAGTTACACAAGCTAGGACTAGTTTACCACTGATATCATCATTATCTTGGCCCTGAACATCTCATCCATTTCACTACCTCATCCTCAGTCCCCTAGTCCTTCTGCTGGGAGCTGGCAGAAGCAGACGTCTGTACCTTTTTGTGTCACCAGGTTGAACACATTGGCCCCTGATGCACTTATTTACCTGATATTAACCATAAGTGATCCTTCTGTGTTAGCATAAACAAAAGGCTGCCATCTCCTCTCTGCAACTAGAAGTCTCTTAAACTCAGTCTGGTATTTATGGTTGCATTGGTTGTGGCCTTGTAAGAACGAATTTGCTATGTGTCAGCCAAGAGAGACATTATTCCATGCTGGCCTACACACAGTCAACAGTTAGGAGGGGCCCTAGAAATTTGTATTATTTGCTATATCAAAACACATACATGAAAACACAAATAGTACTTTAATAACTATCCATCTTTTCCTTCCAGTGCCATATCTGAAAATATTTTACTACCTTGTTTAAGGCATTGGTTTCCTAAGGTTGCTCTCTGCTTCTGGTTTCTTTGGGGAATGACTTTGGGGAATGACAAGGCCTGCTTTGATCCTCAAATCAGGATCCTGAGATCATGGCCACAAGAAAGAAATGAGAGTACTACTGCAAATGTAAGGATGTTTCTGTGGATTCTTTGTGAAGATGCCCTCTCTGGTGCTTTTCAAAAAGACTGGCCTAACCCAAGAACAGGTTTCAATTACATGGATGTAAGCTACTCCATTGTTAGTATATGATTTTGCATCTTCTGAATACTCAAGATGATAAACTTCACAGAAACATGAACAAAAACTTCACCTATATTTTCCTACAAAAAAACTCCAGCAACTGTCTCTTTCCAGGTACCTATTCTCTGCCACCACAAGCTTCCTTTTCACAGCCTTCTTCCTGCAGACAGCATCAACTGACCCGTTAATGTGTAACTAAAAAAGGGCTTGGGTAACCTCAGAGAAAGGTATGTACCTACACTCTGATACTTGTTATTTGCAGTGTTCTTCTTCACTCTTTAAATGCTACAGACCATAAAAACTAGCACATTAAAGGGAAACAGAAGGGGAGATGGGCTTTTTTTCTTTTTTAGTGTCACTGTGTGAGAATAGCCACATGCAACTCATTGTTTAGATAGGGTTTTCTCCTAGCAGGGATTCAATAAGTGGCAGTAACACAGAAGTTATGAATGTATTATCAGTGCCCTGGCAAGGACCCCTAGCATCAGCCCCTTCCTCTTCTCTGAAAGGAGCTGACATGCTCCTGCTTTCAACATGAAGCTCAGACTGTCATGCTGGGCTCAAACACACCCATGTGGGATCAGTCAAAGGTCTGGCAGGGGGTGGATTTGGTGTTTACTCAGCTTCTACAATTAGGTGAGTGAAGATGCTAGGTGCTGAGGGGAACTGTACTCTTGTTAGACAACAAGGAGTTTATTCCAGGTCCCTGGGAGACTTGCATCAGACTTCTAATAAAATGAGCTTTTAAAAAATTCCTTGAACTAATATAGTGGAATGATGTTACTGTCTTGTCTCGGGAAGAAATTTCACCCACCTTTGTTTTTCCAGAACTGATCCTCATCAGATTGGAATGGGACTTTAAACGCTTAATTCTAACCTATCTGTTTAAACGTTTCAAGCACCACTAAGGAATAAACATTAGTTTGATTATAGGATGCTAAACTGCTGCTAAACAAAACCCAGCTGTGTATTTCCAGCAGCAGCAATTCTCAGTTCTTTGCTGCCTTCCACGTGGGTGTGGTGGTGATGAAACACTCTACCAGGAACCAGTGTAATTAAATCGATGATACATTTTGTAAACTGTCTTGGAGTACATTTTTGCCCCTCCTATTTCTCCACATACCAGGCTCACCCATGCATGACATCATTAGGAAAATGGTGCCACAAGACAGAGCACAGTATTTTGTATTCAGTGCCAGTATATACTTAGGCAAGCTGTTATCAAGCACTCTGTCATGTTTCCATTAGAACTAGTAAAACCATTCCTTGCTGAAAAGCAAGCATTTGGGCTGCCCTGTATCTCTATCCCAAGCAAAGGCTCCAGGTGTGGCATATGTGTGTGAGAGCACAGAAGGTGGGCAGCCTGTCCAAGCCTGAGTTAGTTCTTCAAAATAGGAAGTGGGTTTCTTTTTATGGGTCTGGAGAGAAGAAGTATGTCTCTGCCTCCATTCAGGCAGGGAATATGTTGCTGTAACAGAGAAATTAAGAACTGGGCAATGGAGCTTGAGATGTAGCTGTGGTCAAAGTGGCTGCCCCTGCAACAAAGAGATGTCACTGTGAGATTTTGCCAGGGAAATTTCTATGCTAAGCAAGTATGATTTTGGTTTTCCCAGCTACAAGGACTTCATCCACAGTAGTTACCAAGCCCTTCCACAGGGAGCTAGAGCCCTTATCCTACATGTTTGTGAAATTCTGCACTGCCATGGCTGGTACTTAGTCAGGGACTGCCCTGATAATTGTCTCTCTCAGGCAGAACAGGGTGAGGATGATGCAGTTCTTCTCTGGTGAGGTCTAAGCCCTGTAACCTCTAAAGATGTAGAATAGAGACAGAGAGGTTCCTCTCTCCTCCACTCCCCAAGGGTCACTGTCTTAACTGAGCCTCGGCACAACAAAACCAGTACCAAAGATCCTCACTGTAGATCACAGAGACAGATTCAGGAGAAGAGATAATGTATGAGGTTACAGGATGCCAGTCCCCAAAAGCTTGTTGCTCATGGGACAGATAAAGGAAGGAGAAACAGACAGACACCTCTGTCTTTGCAGGGTTGTCTACATACTTTTTCAGTCCCTGCACAAGCCTCACTTTGTGGAAATATGCCCTGTCATCTGGTCAAGCTGCACTCCATGGACTGTGTAGCCACATAGACCTAGAGGTGCAGCAGGCATCAAGGGGAGTCTGTGTTACACATCACACTGCTGCATCCATATCCATATGTGCTCCTCTGAAGGCAGCTCAATGGATGTTACAACAGCAGAACTGGGAGAGTCCAGCCCCTTGTCAATGTTTCTTCCTAACTTGCAATGGTGACAAGCAATTTCCATTTACCCGTTATGCCTTAGGTCCCTTCTGAGACTTGTCAGGGCTACCATTAGCCAAAAACTTTTACAAACTTCGACAAAATTCCCAGCTTGGCACCCCACAGATAAGGAGTGCTTGTGTCTGAGGCTTTAGATGCACCCATCTTAGGGTCCCACACCCTGACTGCTCAACAACTACCTTGTGCAGTCCCCACAGCAGAACACGGCTGGGCTGTTTAACAAGTTGGGAGTGGATGATGCTGGAGGTCAGCAGGAGTCCACTCTCTCAGTCACAGCACAGTTAGGTCAAGTCATCTACACAGAAGACTGTGCAGAGCCACTCAAGGCACAGGGACTCTTGCCTTTGAACACCAAACAACCAAAATGGGTTTATGAGCCCAACCTCACAGGTACTGCATTATTTGTTCTCAAATGACAGCTCCTGCTGTAGCATAAATCCAGTATCACTGGCCATCATCACTCGTGTTGTAGACCATATATCTGATTGTTCAGCATTTGGGATGGACTCTTCCCACCCTTCAGATATGCATCTAAAGGATTTTGAAATAGCTTCTGTAATAACATACATTATTTGTTCTCCAAATGCAAGAACTGTAGTTCCCACATTCTTCCCCTCTCCTAAGCTTAAGCCTTGGAAACATGTTCATCTCACTGCTATTTCTGAGTTTAGTGGCAGCAAAAGCTCCAGTGCATGCTAGTCTGGTCAGGAAGTCATACCGCTGCACAAACTCTTCACTACAAAAACTTGTGCTCTACACAGTGGGCACAGAAACTGATGAAAAGGACAGCAGGTCCCTTGGAGACCTTGTGAACCTGTTCTGGCTTGCACTGAACTACAGCAGAAGCTTTCACTGCTTTCAGCATACAGCTGGCTGATTGGATAGCCATGCCCCATCCCTAGAAGGCATCAAGGGGTGTCGACGGATAAAGCCCGGGTATCAAGAATAACACCAATATGGTTTGCCAGCTTGATCCAATTTTATTAAGTACAGAGCATCTTATATACTATAGGGCGTGATCGCATACAGCTAAACAAGCTGTGATTGGTTCTAAGCTACTGTCCACACAATATAACTCATATTTCATTGGTACAACGCAAGAAGCACACGCAAGAAGTACAAGCCTATGGACCTCCTACTCAAATGTTTCAACTTCACTCCATATCTCTAGTTAAAGAATTTGCTAAACAATAGCTCTCTATGCAGTGGCAAGCCAGAGAGGAACATTGAACAGTAAGTTCTTTACACAGAGGCAGCTAGCAGAGAATTATTCATGTCTGTATCAAGGACCAGGTGGCCGTTATCTTCCAAAAACTTCTCCACATCTCCCCTTTTTTCTTTCTGAACAATCAGGACTTGGCTTGTCACCTTAGTGATGAATCGCTTGATACACGAAATGCTAATACCTATTAGAAATATTGCAATCATAATATAAAGGCAAAATCGAATCAATTCCTGCAACAAGCTACCTAACCAAAAGGGAAGATTCCATTTTCCAAAAGGAGTCTGAAGCCAACTATCAAATCTGGAGCGATGTTGCTGAATGTGCTGTATATTCTATTTCATTAGGCTAAGTGCCTTGTGAATGGATTTGGAATTATCAGATTCATACAACACATTCCATCAAAATCTTCACAACCATGTCCTTGTGCCAATAGTAAGAAATCAATTGCTGCTCTATTTTGTAGCACGGCATGTCTAACACTATGTACATCGGTTAGTAAAGCTGAAATGATCTCTGAGGTTAGATTAAATTGCTTT